CCCAGGGCAGATGGTGCTCCCCAGGCTCAGCACAGAGCCTGGGGTTGGCTTGTCCTCCATGGAGAGGACAGACTGTTGGGTTGGCTTATTACTGGCAGCAGTTCTAAAGAGCATGACATTTGCTGGTTGAAAAGACTGCTAAAAGTAAGTACGAACTTAGCTTTCTTTAATCACCTTTCTGCTGTTAATTAACTATGTACAATATTACCATGGTGCCCAGAATCCCTCCTGGCCAGCTCCAAGGGTCAAGGTGGCCTGAGCCATCTGTCAGTTCTAACTTAATCTGCCCTGTGCCTTCTGTGCAAGTGCCAAACTGTTTCACCTTGTGCTGTCATGCTGGATGAGAAGAAAGGGACACTAAAAAAGCCCAGGCTAGTTTATTTTTTGTTAGGAAGCAGTCATGGCCACAGGGCAAATGAACAGAGAAGCAGTGGCCTGGGCTTACACGGAGCAAGTCTGCAACAGCCCTGGCATCTGAATCCAGAGCCACCTCCTCCCTCCTCTTCAGCAATACTGCCAGCAGTCCTCCAAGGCATGGCTCTAAATGGGCTTTTCCCAGTTTTTAATTATAATATTAATGAATAAAGCAGAAGAAAAAAACCACACACAAACACAACAGAATAGTTTTTAACCTGGCTTGATTAATGCTGTCAAGTTGTACATCTGAGTGTGAGCTCAGTGGGACTGTTGCTTTTGTTTAATACCACAAGACACCTCAGTCTGCATTGTTGCATTACAGTACAAATAAAAAACAGAAACAAAACCACATCTGCATCATACAAGGTGAGAAGAATATGAGAATTCTAAATATTTACAGAGAAGGGCAAGTGGGGAAACCACAAAAAATATTTACATAAAAATACATGAGCTTTTCGGCATATACATTTTACACCAGTTCACAAAAAAAGACACTATATAAATTAAAGTGAAGGGAACTCCAAAGGTAACCCAAGACTTTCTGGGATGTTCCTCTCATGCGGCTCAGGGAAAGAAAAATCAAGTCTTCTACAGCAGGAAAATGAACTGCAAAACAACCTTTTTCTCCTCCCCCCACTGGGCGAGGCAAGACCCTGCACACAAAGGTACCAGGTTTGCTGGGACCTGACCATGCCCTCCAGCACCGGGGATCTGCAGCACAGGCTCTGGGGAAAGAGCTGCATCCCTAAGCTGCCCTGAACTGAAGTCAAAGAGTTTCTCCTCCAGAATTCCTGACATGTCACACGTCACTTCAATGCCCTGTCAAGGTCCTGATGAATTGCAGAGTACCCGGGAGGTTCTGTCCCTTCCTGGGGTTAAAGAGGAACAGAATGTTTTCAAGGTGGTTTTGGTTTTGTGTTGCAATTTACTACCACTGTGCAATCCTTACTGACCCCCCCTTCCAGTGATGAGCAGAAATTGAGGATCTGGGGAAGGATGCAGGCACAAAGTTGTGGGTGTTTTGTCATAGATGCATATAGGTTTCACCTGATAAGACTCTTAAAAAATCAGAAATTAATGCTTTACTTAAGACTTCACAGGGGCTTGGTCCTCATTACTCACCTAACACCTGCACTCCCCCTTTGCCAAGGAAGGTCTCCCATGAGCTGCACCTTCCACTCCAAAGTGGAGCTGGAAACCCAGAGTTGGAGAACCCAGAACTCTTGCATGCAGGAGGGAGAAACGCAGCTGAAAGCTTAGGAAGTGGCAATTCAAGATGCAGATAGCTGTGGCAAGGTAAGGGAATTATTTAGGAACACAGCTGCTTGTCCTCTTGCTAGAGATAAGGTCAGGCAAAAAAAAATGACTGAATCTGAGCAGAACTGGACTCACAACAGAGCAGCATTTGTGTTGCTGGCCTCTTGCTCTCTCCCATTTCTCTACTGGGACACAAAGAACTGAACTTACCTCCAAATTATCTACCTTACTTAGACATCTGGTGTAACCTTCCCTCCTCACTCTACTGCACAACGCCCTTGTCGATCTCAGCTGTGAATGTTGGAAAGATACAGCTGGACATTTTCACCTTATCATGAATCAGTCAATGTAGAGCTCTTCCTGAGGACCATCAGATGAACCACAGTGCAAGAGTAGAACTGCATAGTTCTCAATATGGCTTTGCCTGGAGGGGATGTGGAATGACTGCTGAATCCTACTAGATGCTGAAGCCATGGGCAGTAGCCACACCAAAAGAAAGCTGCTCATCTGTACTCCTGTCTGGGAAAAGCTGGTGCCTTCACTTTGCTTGGTTTTGATTTTTGTATTTGTGGCTCAACACTGGTGTACAGAGTTAGTCTGGATTCTGAGAGGCCTTCTCAAGGGGAAGGCTGGTTGTAGCAGCCATCATAGTGTGGGTGTGCACGTCTAGGAGCTCTTTCTGAAAGGTGCTGAAAGCTTTTGTTTCCCAAGGGATGAGGGGGTGCTGAGCACCTGGCACTTGGTACAGTGCAGTGAGCTGAAGAACCCAGGCTCAGGCAGTGGTACCACAAGACCAGAAGGAACAGAAGTTGTCCAGGGATGGCACTTGATCTCTAGAGGGAGACAGTGGCTTTGAGTAGGAAAATCCAGTGAGGCATTTACAACTAGTGGGAGCTGGTTCAGCCCCCTTGCAGTAGAAGGACAGTCTGGTTAACATAAGGCCAAAACAGAGGTGAGGAGAGTTGCTGTGGGGGGGGGCAGGAGTGGGGAGTTAAGGCTTTCATGGAGAGAGAGGTTTGACCTACAGCTCTCAGTACCTGAATCCCAAATAGCCTGAACCAAACACATTGTCCCTGCTTCCACTGGAGACCTAGGTAGGTAACTGGCAGCTGTGGGGAGACCATGCTACAGTGGCCAAGGACTGGTCCCAGTCCTGACATGCTCCAGCTGCCCTCCCTGGGCACGCTTGCACGGAGGGACTGGGCAGAGCAGAGCAGGCCCTCAACATGGCTCACCTGGGGACACCTTTGCATATCATGAGTCTTACTTTTCCTTAACAGAAAACACATTCCTTCACCTAACCCCTCTACCTGGTACTTAATCACAAGTAGATCGTGGTAACCTGGATCACAGTGCTGCTTTTTTCTCTTTCTTTTTTCCTTCTGTCTGCCAGATTTATTTCCATAACATTTCAGAACAGGTAACTCTTCTAAAGAAAATGCTTGAAACAACAGGATTGCACAATGAAACAGAACCATAAGGTAGTGTCACTGAAACAGCCCCAGACAAGGCTACAAAAGAAGCAAACACCTAAATACTAGCTAGCTACTAGAAGCAAAGTTTCCTTATGATTTAAAAGCCCCAAAATATCCATGAAACTTATGTCCAAAAAACCCGTGTAAGTTCCCTTGAACTGTCACAGCTGTGTGCTAACTGCAGGACTTCCAGGTTTTTAATAAAACATTAAAGAGTCAAAACAGAAGCTCTTCAACCACCTGAAAGAGAAATGGCCTTGGAATTTATTGGTGAACATTTAAAAACTCCTAAATCTCAAGTATTGCTTGCAAGTCCTGTCTAATGAAATGGATGTGCTTCAGTAGGGGGAGTCCTGGGAAGTCTGAGAGGCTGGAGGCTGCGGGTGAGATGCTGCCTGGCTGCTTTTACAATACAGAAAGCATTTAAATACCTAGGAGCAGGTTATTGGGGTAGTACAGAGTGCACTGGCCTTCTGTCCCTACTGCTGCCTGAACACGGGCACGAGCTGCAGCTGCAAGAGGGTGGCAATGCAATTCCCAGCGCACGGGCAGCACGGAACTGCTCTGGGTGCCCCTTGGAGCCCCTGCCCACACACCCTGAAGGCTGCAGAAAGAAGCCAGGTCCTGTAGACCTTCAGTCTAAGGGCAGCAGGAGCATTCCCTGATCTAAGAGCTGCAGGATCTGGCCCAGGGTAAATAGCTTGTCATGCAGGTGACTTGGCACAGTCATTCCCAGCTGGTAAGTTGGGCTCCAGTTTACAAGCTGGACATTATGCTAAAGAGACTTTCAAATTTTCATAGTATTTTTTTTTTTCTTTTTGTAGAGAGATGATACTGTCTGGCCAGCCACAACATGGTATTAAATTGTCTGGACTGTAGATAGCCTAGCAGTAAAGAGGAGCTGGCATGAAATGGGTGTGCTGTTCCCAACTCTGTGTGCATGGTTTGGTGTGGTTTTGTGTTTTGTTTTCTCTTGGTATGACAAATGCCAACCTGCCCTATTTGGCTTCCAGAGCTGGCCTCTGCTTACAATAGAGAAATCTGAAGTAATTTGAGTTCTTGTAGTCAGAAGCAGCTCGTTAAGCAAACAATTTAGGAAGTGTGTTGTGTTTTGAACTTGTTTCAGAGCCTACTCCACAGGCTTGAAGTCAAAACAGGCTCCCACCCACTTCAAAGCAATTGAGGTGGATCCACTCTGCCTAAGCTTTAATTGTCAAGGGAAGAGGCAGGACCTCAGCATTTATCAAGAAGAAAATACTTGGGAAGTCTTTCCCCCCTGCCCAGCTTTTAGCCCACTCTTGCTGCATGACCTCAAGAGGGGGCAGAACCGTGGTTCTTCCAAGGCATGTCATGGAGCTCCTTTCTTAGAAGCTGGCAGTGGGAAGGGCAACTCATCACACATGGGGCTCACAGGGGGAACAGCTGCATGCACGGTCCATCATGCACAGGACCATGGAGGCGTGGTGAGGAAGCGGTGGTGACTGCCAATGTCAAACCTGGGGAAGAAAAAAAACACTCCTTTTTTTTCTTCCCTCCCTGCCCCAACAGCATCTTTCAGCTCTGCCTGGCCTCTCTGGCAACATCTGTGTGCCAACAGCCTGCCCTGTCCTTCCAGTTGTCTCAAAACTACATGAAAAAGCTCTATCTCTACTACATAAAAACAGTGAGTGGTGGGCGGGGAGGGCTGGGGCTGAAGGTGGGTTTGCTTTGCTCAGCGGGATGACGTTGGGTTGGGTTTTTTTTGTTGTTTTCTTTTTTTGTTTGCTTTTTTTCCGTCACTGAAAAAATAAAACAGTCCACTGTCCAGCAGAGGCTGCTTAGACTCTATCCCTCCTTCCCCCCTACGCCAGCTCACTCAACGTGGACCTCTGTTTCAGGCCTCTGCAAACACAGCTCCGTGGGGAGGAAGGCTCCCTGGCCGAGGGCCGTGGCGTAAGTTCTACTGTGCACGTGGGTAAAACTGGGGGGCACAAAGCCCCCTCCTCCAACATAGCCCCCTCTTTGGTGCTGAGGCATGGTATGGTAATCCTCCAAATTATCGTACTGGGACACCACAGTCATAGTGCTTTGGCGTTTCCCAAGGGTTTGGTAGGGGTAGAGGAGGGCAGAGTCCCTCTCCATGGATTCGGGGTGCTGCATTCTGAGGCTGTGGCTCCGTTCGGGCTTGGGGGGTGGTGCCATGGGGGAGGCGGCGTGTTCCTCCTCTTTGTAGCAGTCTCTGGAGTGTTTCTCCATGGATGTGGTCGGCCTGGCTCGAGACCTCTCCAAATCTGCCCTGTCCTCTGCCAACCTCATCTCCTTGTGGTTCAGCCTCAGGGTGTCCTGGTTTGCTGGGATGTACTTCCCGCCCGAGTGCTGGTACCCGATGGGCTCGGAGGGCTCTGGGCCACCTTTGGGCCGGTAGTCGGGGTAAGGGGGCCCGTTCTTGGGCTCGGAAGGCTGCCTGTGGCTGGCTTCCTGCTGCAAGTGCGTCCTGTGCTCGGCGGTGCTGCAGCCTGGCTCGTGCAGCTTCCTGCTCCGGATGCTGCTCTGCTTCTGGGGAAGGGACGGCTTCTCCGCCTGCCCGTTCCCGTAGGCCCCGTGGTAGTGGGCTCTGTCCGGCTCCGGCTCGGGGTGCTGCACGTAGTAACGCTCGTCCCCCTCGGGCGTGCCCGCTTTGGCCGGGTACCTCCCCTCCTTGCCTTCGGCCACGGTCAGGAGCCCAGTTTTCCCAGGATCCGATTTGCTGCGCAGGTGAATCACATCCAGCCCTCCCAGCTCCTCCGGCAGCAGCGGGGCCACGTTGTCGTACTGGGACATCAGCGGCCCTTTCACCTTCTGGCGCGTGCGGCTCTCCCGGCGGATGGACTGCATGCGGAACTTCTCCATGTCCTCCAGGTCCCACGACATGTACATGTGCTTGACGTCCGGGGCGGGGGGCACGTCCCTGCTGACGAAGCTGTGCTCCTTGCCTGCCAGGTGCCCGATGAGGCCGCCCCGAGGGTAGGCGGACAGGCTGGGGTAGCGGTACAGACCTTTGCTCTGCAGCCGCGAGGCGTAGGCTGGGAAGTCCCTGGTGGGCAGGGGGTGGAAAGGCCTGACCCTCACGGTGCTGTAGGGGTCCAGGTCATAAAAGCCCCCATCGGCAGTGGTGTAGTAAGAGGATCCGGAAGAGCTGGAGTAAGGGCTGTAGCGGTAATGGACCCGCCCGTTCTCAAAGTAAGGCTGCAGCTGGGTGACGTGGTAGTCGGAGTGGGGCTGGTATGGCTTGTACTGGTAGAGGGGCCGCGGGCAGTATACGGGCTCGTCGTCCGGAGGTACCTCGGTGCGGGAAATGGGGACGGAGCGGATGGTGGAGGCAGCGGGGGTGGGGACGTGCAGCGACTGGACCCTGCGGATGGTGGGGTAAGGGGGGGCCTCCTCGGTGTAGCTGGCGTTGCGGGGGCCCGTGGGGCTCACCGAGGACACAAACTCTGTCCTGCTGCGAGGCTTGGAGTGGAGAGCTGAGCTGCTCTTCCCCTGGGTGGTGTAGGTGTTGTAGCGAGTGCCCGCGGAAGCGGGGGTCTCGGAGCGAGGGGGGTAGGCTTGGTGCTGGTCAGGCTTGCTGTGGTAGGAGAGGTGGGGAGGAACGCTCTCGGGCCGGTACTGATGCACGGGAGCCGGCTTGGTGCACAT